AACCCAACTTACGCAGGGTGGATTTCTCGGAACTTTGTGAACGGAAGGATTTTTTTAAAAACAATAACCATGACAAAAACACAATACGGTTACTTGCAGATTTTTATCTAATTTATTTTCTTTAAGGCCACAACTGAAAGAAAGAAACACTTTTTTACGATGGTACAGACAGCAACTTTTCTATGTACTCCTACTCTTGTGTTGTGAACAAGCTTAGATAGAAGTAGAAAAAAAGGTGGAAGGAAACTAGGAGAGAAAGCGGAAAAAAAACCGAAAAGGATTGAATAACATCTTCAGCGTATGTCGAATATCAGAGTTAGGATGGCTGTTTTTCTTTGTTTTGTCTTTTTCGGAATTTTCGGGAGGTTTTTTCGAGAGAGGAGGGGGGGGGGGAGAAAAGGTTAAAAGGCTCGTTAATAAATTGAGACGAATGCTTGTTCCTCGCTAAGGGCGATTTAAGGAGATAAAACTTCTTTTCCTCGAAAGGGAATCAAAATAATGGGGGTAGAGACAACAGACAAAGGTCTATCCAAATATGACAGTATAAGAAGGCGGGGGCCGGTGATCGAAGCAGGGTAATAGACGACAGGAAACAATACAACCAATTTTAAACTGTCCGCCCAAGTGCTGTTAAGGGTTAAACGCATTGTATTTTTTTTCAGAACTGAAGGCGTGGTTTCTACAAATGTGAATGTGTTCCGTCAGTATGTTGTATGAAACGTATTGAATGAGTTAAACAGACAGGTCGTGATAATAATTATGAAAACGTTCTTACAACAACAGACAAAAGAAAAAAAAATAATCAGGAACAAAGATATGTAGACAAAGCAGAACATTTTGTTTATAGAAGCACCGCTTTGCTCGTTGTCGTCACTGAACCAGCTGGGCGAAACACAAGCATGACTGGCTCGACAGTTGTGACTAGATTTAATTAACAACAGAACAGAACAAAACTAAACTAAAAACTTACTGGAATGGTACTGTGTCTGAATCAGCCTTAACTCAAACTTGGAATGAAAGAAGAATACTTTAGCAGCTGGGGGGAACTTTAGTCACACGAAGAATGTTCGTCACTTTAAAAGATTTTCTGTCTTGAGAACTTTCGTCACTTTGACAACTTTTTTTTTCCCACACAGAGTATTTTTGTCAGTTTGAGAACTTTTGTCACGCTAAAGGCTTATGCCACAAAACAAGAACGTTCGTTACTCAAAGAACTCTTGTCATCCGAAGAACTTTTGTCACAGAAGTAAAAATCCAACACTCGGGCACCAGTGGGGGCCACCACAGGGATAGTAGGCGAATTCAGCAGGTGAACGCATACGTCATTCTCCACAGGTTGTTAGTCTGGTGGTTCCCCCCTACGCTCGGAGAGAGAGAGAGAGAGAGAGAGAGAGAGAGAGAGAGAGAAAGAGAGAGAGAGAGAGAGAGATACGAAGGGAAAGAGAGCGGAATACGAAGGGAGAG